AAAAGGGAGGAAGTTTCCATGTGTACAGGCTTTTTATTGTATTTCAACTTTGCTCTAAATACTTTTCCCTTTCGAAAGGATGAATTAAGCAATGCTTTACAGTGAGAGAGATGTGTTCAAAACAAGTGTCTGCTGACAAAGGAGAGTCTGTGAGCATCCATCTCTCAGGATGACACACAGGAGGGAGTGTGGGAGGTATCACAGGGGTCACAGCTCTCATCCGAACTTAACCCCTTCACCCATCCCTTGATACCAAGCATTGGAGGGTGCAGGTCATGGGAATCCTGAGAAAACCCTGCTGGGTTTCCACTAGGTGGGTCAGTGCAGGGTGGGCAGTGCCAGTGGGAGCAGAGTGAGCGGCCACCAAGCCCTCTTTGTGTCACCATTCCTAAACCCCGAGTCCTCAGCACATACAGAAACCACACGTGGGGCCACTGAGCACTCTGGGTGTTTTCTGTTAGATGTCTGTTCCTGTAAGGAGAGAAAGAAGAGCCAGTCTATTTAGCACTGTGAATTCTGTGCTCATCTAACTGCAGAGCTGATCCTCTTTTAATGGCACCTTTGGTAATCAAAGGTGGCACAGGAGCCATGAGATTAGCACAATTTCTTGCCCTTTCCAGTTGTTTCACATTTAACATGATTAGGAGCAGTGATTGTCTTCACAGTACTTGTGAGATCCATGTGGAACTTATTTTGCCGATACATACCTCAACTGTGATCTGGCAATGGTAACAATAATGTTATGGATGTAGTGGCGGTGCTATATCTGTGAAGGTCTAAGGATATAAAAAACGCAAGGTCTGGGGACAGTGGTTATGGCTTTTATTAGAGCTACTTGATGCAGTTAAAAATACAGATAAGCTTTCAGACATGCAAGCCTCAATACTGAATACAGACATTTGTTTTCTTAATCTGTGAGGAAGTCTTATAAAAATAAAAATAGAGGGCTCACTGTGTAACCTTTCACCTTTCTGTCAGAGGCTAATGGTTCTTAAGGACGTTATAGTTTGGCTCAGACAGACAGCAAGCTAGAGAAAAAAATTTTGAAGATAAATGCATTTTATGCTGTGCATTAAGGCTGTGGTGTGGACAGGGACAGCCCAGCACACAGCTCTGTACTGTGCAGTCCAATGGAGTCTCATTTCAAGGCATTCCCACAGCTGGTATTTCTGCAGCTAAATTGTCATCAGTTCTGTCATCTGTTGTCATGGCTCTTCCTCAACACTCAGGTGTGGAAATCATGGAAGAGATAATCCCATGCTTAAATCCTCTTTCTAAAAAAAAGGAAAAAAAAACAAAAACAAAAAAACACAAAGAAATTGAAACACTGGTAATGTGGGTACTTAGTGCATAAGAGATACATGGTCCTGTCAGGTGCCTTATATCACTTGTTTGCAAAGAAATAGTTCTGCTGTAGAAAAGCATCCCTGAGAAATACTGTACAAATCCTTCAGATACAAATGATCTCTTTTAAAAGCACAAATGAGTTAAACTCACTGAGTTTCCTTTAGCTTCTCTACCCAAGACAAATTACTGCAATGATTAAACACAGCTGAGGACCCTTTTTTTTTTTTTTGTACACGGTGCCACTAAGCTATGTATTACAGACAAACCAGCATGGTCTGGAGGGAAAGGAGGATCTAAACTGGAGAAAGGGATGAGAAAATATCAAGGGAATATTATCACAGTGACACAGGAAGAAAAGTGAATAAATTCAAAATAACAAGGGGATAATGAGTTGCAGAGAACTGCTGCATAATGCCTGCCTTTTTAAAACATTCACATTTTAGCACTAGTTGAATTTAATCCTGAAGTATCAGTCTGACAGGACTTGGCTTTCCAAGAACATTTGGAAAGTAAAGCTTGAGGAACATGGCACTCAATCTGGGATCAAATGAATCCTTTAATCAGGGTGGGCAACACTATCTACAGTTATGAGGGGTCTAGACACCTGGTAACAATCCAGCACTTGGTCTTCTTTTTCTGTGATTTTTTTTTTCTTTCTTCTGTTATTTCTCCTTCCTGGACATCAGTTTAATTTTTGTTTGGTTTGGCTTTTTAAAATATATTATATATATATGAATTTGTATATATATTTATATTTTTCTTGTATTCTTAGCTTAAAATATACTCTGCTGGAAAATATCATCCATGAATTTTGCCAAAGCAGATGGGATTCTCCCTACTCAGTGACAAGAGATCCTGCTCTATTCTGTCATTTCTAGCATGCCAGGTCTGAAGTGATATAGCAGCTGTAGAAGACATACGCAATTGAAGAAATATATTGCGTATTGAAGAAATACGCAAACTTTCTTACTGAAAACATAGACAAGGCATAATATTTTTTTTAGCTTTACTGATAAATATGAGCTAAAATTCTAGATTCAAACACCCTTCAATTTTGAGAAAATTCAGACCCAAACTAAAATTGACAGATCTACTTTAAGATTTTCTTTTGCAGAAACAGACATTTTAGGCCCAAACAGAAAAGCTACAAAGATTACAGCTTCAGATTTAGGCAGCAGTTGAGCTGGAAGCTTTCAGGGTTTCCATTTAAGACTTTCCTGAGTGCTTTCTCCCTACATGTTACTTTAGGTGCCTGAGATTTTTTCTTTGTTTTGAGTTTATGACCATCAGATGTATCTGAAAAACTCTCTCATGAGCCAAAATAATTGCTCAAAAATTGCTAGTAAATGTAGATTCTTATCTTTTTTATAGGCCAGTTATTAAATGGGAAAACACAACATTTGGCAAGTTTGTGGTAGAAGGAAACATGTTGTTTATCCAGTTTGGAATGTTTTTCACATTTGGTAACAGTATTTAGGTAAATTTCTCAATTATTTATGGGAGGTATGCTATAAACAGACAGTACAAAAAAAAAAAAACAAAAAACATTTACAAGACTGAATATCTAGAAAAGTATGTCCATTAAGATGTGGTAAAACGTCCCAGGAGTAGCAACGGTCAGCTGTTCTGTTCTTCAGTCAAACAAAAGTAGTCTGGACAAAAGCATTGCAAAATACACTTTAGGGAACAATTTTGTAGTCACCAGGAAAATAGAGTAGGCGAACTAATAGGTCTTTTTCACCTCTATGTTCCATCACAGTATTGTTTTTATTATTATTATATTTTTTATTTTTATTTTTTTGAAGCAAAACTGTATTTAACCTCTGGCTTGTGAGTCTGAGAAAGCTGTTGTTAAGTCTATATAGCCATTAAAATGTTTACAACATCATAAAGGAATCTATATTTAAATGTAAAGGAACCCTAAAAAGACAGCTAGAAAAATGCATCTGTATCTAACGTTAAAGTCCTGGTCCTCTATGATTTATTTGGTAATTTCCTGAACCTTCTGGCATTTTCTTGGGGAATCACTTCCAGCAGCCATTTGGAAAGCTTTAATAAGTAATAGCAAACTCTTACTGCAACCAACCAAAAACAACATCTTAATACCCTGCTGTCTTTTTAATTGGCACCTTTAGAGCTGTGAACTGAACATAAGCAAATAGTTTAAATATCTCTCAGGTGTACATCTTCTTCAGGGCACCTAGGGTAACAAGCTGACTAGTGGCTGTGCTAATGAGGTGATTTGTTAGCATGGGAATGATTGCCTTGATTGCTGCAAGTGTGAGAGTGACCGACCCTTAATTGCATACACTCTGGTGTGACTGAGATTTTGAGTTGGCTGCCAGTGTGGTGAATGAGTTGTCTGCCTCCCTATCAGTCACCCTTTTTCAATGAAGCTCCTCCACTAGGTCGTGTTTGTAATTCCCGCTTTAAATTGGCTGTGTGGAGAGCCTCGTATAGTTGTACGACATGGCAACAACTGAGCCACATGGTATAAGCAGATCGTGCCAGCAAAGCTCCAGCAAACCTGATCTTTTTGCTTATTCTTGATACTTTTCTTCAAAGGAATTCTGTCCCCAGAGAAGTGTATTGATCAGCTCTTTTCTAAAATGCTAGATATGTAGGAGCTCAGGATAATTAGAATATTTTCAGAGAAGGATGTTCCTCTTCCTGGATTCATTGTCTCAATCAAAAAAAACAAAAACAAAAACAACTGAAGCCTAGGCTTTTCTCTGAGTGCAAAGCTGAAATGGCACTTTAGGTGTTTACATGTAGATATGTTAAGAAACTTCCCTGTAGATGTTTATATGATGGTATCTACATGTGGACTGGGTGTTTAAGATCTGTGCAGTGGGAAAACTTGAGGCTGAATTGCATTGCCTACGTGTGGGCACATAGTGATGTCTGAGGAGCTCTGGAGATTGCATTGCTCTGCTCTGGCAGGTCCAGCTGCCCTGTGCAGATGGCTCATGTACCTCCACACACGTGATCTCTAGTGGCACCACCTACCTTCACACTGGCCTGGAAATGATGTGTGGAAGCTGTCTGAGGCTTCCTTGGCTGTACTGATTATATCTCTGCATTCCGTAATGGTACACAGGGCTCTGCTGGGCAAACATTGTATACAGATACCCAATCCTGGTGTCTGCAGTTTGCATCAAGTCTCCGCATTACTGTTTCTCAATTTCACGTTGAATGAGTTCAGGTTAAGGAAAAGAAGTACCTTCCTGGATGCAAACCACACACACAGAACTCAGCTGGGCTTTCTCTTCCTGGTGGTGCCTCCTTGGGGACCAAAACTCAGCAGTTCAGGCCAGGCTTTCTGTGATACCCCCTGCCTTCAGTAAGTCTTACAGGTGTGAGTGGCAGGTTCATTACCTTACAGTGATAGGGCCCTGTAGGGTTTCTCTTAATGATGCATAAGGGGGAGCAGGAGCCACAGCATACATATTTGTAGAGGCTCGGACTCTGCAAGGCAAATGGGGGTAAGAACAGCCAAATGGATCTTTCTGTGCTAAGTCAGCAACAGTTATGCAGTAACACAGTGATTTTATTTATTTTTTGTTTGTTTTGAATGATAAGTCCAAGGAAAGGATGAGTTAGCTGATAGCTCAGAGATATCACATAACTAAGACAATGGTTTCCAACTTTCCTGAATGTTAAATGGAGGGAAAACAGCTGAACTTGCCTCTGCTATGCCTTGCTCTGACATGCTGAAATGGCATATCTGTCTTGCTTAGGAGTGAAGCTCATTAAAGTTGTTCTTGCAAAAGGCTTTACCCAGTGTAATTTAAACAAGTGGGGCAGTAAGTAAGGCTAAAGCTTGCTCTCTTTTTAGGTTCAATTTTTAACAGAATTCAGTTTCTGTTTCTTTTAAGTATGTGACATCCCAACAGCTGCCATTAAGGCTTCAGCTCTGTCTCCTGCACCCTACCTTTACTTTCTGTTTAGGCTTTTGACCCAGCTCAAGATTCAACTCTTACTTTTTTTGTCAAATGCTATATTTTCTTCTTGCTTTCTCTTGCTCTGGTGCCTCTGGACAGTAGTATAATTCTGACACCAATAGTTGTTATAAATAATATAGTTCCTGCTCTGGGGAAAGAAAACTGGACTAAGGGAGGCATTAAGCACCGAAAATAACAGGAATGCAGCAGATCTGTCACGCAAGACTGCCATCCCTAGGTGAGTTACAATGGAAATTCACTTGGCTTCAGTTTGCCTTTGGCTTCTGTGTTTCAGCTTGGAAAATGTAATGGATTTTAGATTATTCTTCAGATTTTAGGACATACCAGAGTGGAGTATATACCAGACTTTGTGATATATGTCCATGATAAAATCATGTCTTTACTATAAATCTTTGCAAAAGAACTCTTGCTTCATGCTGGGGGCCGTTTTTGTTTTATAAAAGGTGCATGGACACAGAAAAGGAAATATTCCTTAAAATCTGAACTACAACATGCCTTCTTAATTTTTAGGTTTAATTCTCAGTGTCAGGGAGTGGTTTTTGAGCTCAGTTTGTGCTTGTCCTGTCATACAACAAAAAGGAAAGCTCATTTGTTCCTCCTTATGGTACCTAAAAGAAAAGTTTGTTAACATTTCAACTCCCACTTTACTCTGAGCCTTTAGTTTTCAGAGTTTCTCCCATTTATACATTTGACCTGTGGTTCGAGCAGTCAATAGCAGGGTGCATCTCCTTTTCTGCTGCAGTTCATTATGTTAACCACTTCTGTGTATTTGTTCTATGTAGTTGTTCCCAGAGAGACTGTATTGGGTGTATCTATTTTTAGAAGTAAACAGAGTGACAAATATTTCCATCTGGATGATAATAAAAAGTTGCTTTGGTTGAACCCAAAGTTTGACTCACAAGGTTTTTGCTGTGTTTTTAACTTCTAAAATGGCAAATGACAATTTTCGATAACACTAAAGAGGATTTTCAATATCTGCTGTGTCAATGACTTTTCTCTGGGAAAGTCTTATGCCCATGGCTGGTCTTTAGTGCCTTTGAAACTTCTTCTTACATTGCCCTATATAGTACCTGCAGTGTGGATACAATTCTGGTTATCCCAGAGTTGCTTTCCTTAGAATACCTTAAATGCAGATGTTTGAATGGTATGAATGGAATGGTTTGAATGGCTCCAATAAGCACTCTGCAGTAGCCCATTTCTACAGCCATGAAGTCAGGGATGTATCCCAAATAAAATCCCTATAAGACCAAGCACTGACTTTTGAATAACAAACCCAGTAAGGTTATTACTCTGAGGAAGCAATGGAAGTTGGCACTAGAGTTTGTCAGAGTAAGGTTAAGTGAGCTAAAGACTGCAGGCCTATTTAATTAAGTAGACAGGCTATCAATCACAAAGAATAACAGTCCCAAATAAGAGGTTTATAAAGCTTGCAAGCTCTTTCCATGGATGCTGGTGTTTTGTCCTATTTCATTATGCAGAACCGGAGGTTTTCACTGAAGAGTCAATTCTCAGTAGGACAGTGGTGACAAGCTCCTGGCAATTCAGGGGAAAATAAATGGCCAGATGATCACAATACGTTTGATGCTTAAAATGAAGTGTACACAGTACCACCAGTTCCAAGTGTGCATGAATGTGCATGAATGACTACAGTGTTGTAAGTTTTCAGAAGATAATAAGTACCCTTACTTCTTTCCTTGGTTTTCTGATTTCTGTAACTCGTGCATTAACATTTTTAGGCTTCAAGGGTCAAGCTGGCTTTATGTCTTTTTTTACAAAAAAAAAAAAAAAGAGCTTCTGTTATAATTTCTTAAGCCCTCCAGCTCAGTTCTAATAAAAACACCAAACTACAGGACCTCCAAGATAAATCTATGAGAGCTAGCAGCACAGTGAGGAGCTTATAAAATTTCAGGGAGAATTTTTTAATAATAAATTACACAATAATAAATGATACAATAATTAAATTATGCAAAAATTTACACAATTTTAAATTTGAATTTATACAATAATAAATGCAAGGTGTTAGTTGCCATTTTTAATGGAGATGTCCTAGGTCTGATGCTAAATTCTGAAATAATCATTCCATTTGTTACGTCTTCTACAGTCCCCAAATGCTTTTCCCATGCATTACATAATGAGTTCAACAGCCCTTTAGGCGGTCACCCCCTCCATGGTGGTGGGTGTTTGGTGGCCTAAGGAGGTGACTGGGGCTTCCCTGCCTGCCAGTGTACCCCTCTGCTCCTTCATGTGTGTGGGGATGAGCTTCAAATCACATAACCTAATAGTAGTGACCATGTGAAAAATCAGATTTTGACGATTCTTTGCTGTTATCACAGGACAGAAAAATTGCCTTGGTACCTTTCTCTGCACTAAAGAATTATAAACATCCACAGTCAATCTCTAATAGATGGTTTTTATTGTTATTATTTTAAATCTAAAGAAGATAATATTATATCATTCTTAGTTAGTCTGCTCTGCTGTTTATCCAACCTTAAATTGGTATTAAAGAAACTTTCTAATTCTAAACTGCTTTGTTAAAGGTCAATCTTGCTTCACCTGGTCCTACTTCTAGCAGTCCTGGAGAAGTATTACTTTTTCTTTTGGAATACACAACGTTTGTAATGTTGCCAGCTTAGTCAAAGCAGATCTTGAACTTTCCGTATAGGTTTCTGAACCTCTTCTTTTTATTTTCGCCTGTATACCTGCTCTACATTTTGTCTTTATGTCCCTTAAAGTGAAGTGAGTAGAATAGGATACAAAATTAGAATCATAGAATATCCTGAGTTGGAAAAGACCCACAAGGATCATTGAGTCTAGCTCCTGGGTCCCCAAAGGACCACCCAAAAAATCAGACCATGTATCTGAGAGCATTGTCCAAATGCTTTTTGAATGCCGTCAGGCTTGATGCCATGACCACTTTCCTGGGGAACATGTTCCAGTGCCCAACCACCCTCTTGAAGAATCTTTTCCTGATATCCAGCCTGAACCATCCTTGTTGCAGCTTCGAGACATTTCTTCAGGTCTTATCGTTGATCACCAGAGAGGAGTTCGGTGCTTGCCCGTCTGCTTCCCTCATGAGGAATAGTTTTAATACAAAGCTGCTCAAAATGACAACCTATGTGTCATTGTTTTACCTAAACATTTTACTGTAAGCTTTTAAAATTAATTGTCTTACAAGCTAGGCAATCCTCTGGTATTGGTGACGTGGTAGCTGCATGGGGAAAGTAGCCCTTCCAGTGCTATTTCAGGACAGAGATGTCCATTTTTTATTCAACCTCATAGCATATTTAAAAATAAATAAAAATAAATTTAAAAATAAATAAATAAAGCTCTTATTGTGAAAACTGTGGAATTTTAAAGCATAAAAAGTACAGTTTTGTAGAGACATTAAGGGCAGTAAGGGCAACTCCTGTTTAAGCTAAATTGACTTTCTCCTCTGTCATACATCACACTTGATCCTGAGAAAAGCTGACCTTTTGTACTCTCCTGTTCCTGGCAAAATTAATGGAAAATAGCCTGTCGCATTATGAGTGATTGCAAGCTTCTATTGTATTGCTCCAAATTAACTTATTGCCACTGAAGACACACCGTTGATCCCTGCTAGCCCGGAAGAGTCACATAGCTATGGCCTCTTGATCTGTTTTATATGTTTGACTAAGCCTCCTGTTTCTGCTCTCAGTAAATATCTAAATGCCTATCTGCTATGACATGTATTGAAATAAACTTTGATCTACCTGAAGCATGGCATATTTTTATAGAACGACCATTCTGACACTAAAGAAAAGACCATTTGCTTCTGCCCTGAAGTTACTAATACCTGAGGCTAGAAAGGTGTATTGTTTAGAGCACCAACTGAAGATGAGTATCTCCTATAGCAGAATACTTACAGGTGATCAAGTAATTAATTTGACTGGTATAATTAATTTGACTGGTATTGGGGAAATGTTCTAAGTTTTTGCACAGTTCTAAATTTAAGGCACAGTTCTAGAGACCCCTCCCCCCACCCCCCCTTTTTTTTTTTTTTAGAATGTAATTGGGAGATAATGAATCAGAGAAGTGGGTAGCAACAGGAAGAGAAATTTTTATAAATCTTTACATAGTTCATCTCCTGTCTTTTTAAACTCCTGTTTGTTTTGGGTGTCTGGTGTCTCAGGATAAGTGAGTTTTGGACCTGAATCCTGGGGGAAAAAGGAGGTTGCATTTTTTTATCTACTGATCCAATCCCATGGCCACTCTATGTTTTCTGAGCTGAATCACAAGCAGGATGAAGTACCACCACTGCTAAAGTTTCACAAGAACCAAATTTTCATGTTGTTCCAGCTCCTGGGAGAGGCAATTTTTAATGTTTAAGACCTTGAAGGTTACTGACACTCAAAAAATTTTAATATGAAAGTTGTATCTACTGTGATAGGCCCAGTATATAGGATTAAATCTCATGGGAAGCAGTAAAGGGAACAGGGGGTTAAAAATCTGCTCTAGTTTATACTTATTCACACTCCAAACACCATCCCTTCTACCTGGTTCTTTCAGTGTCTTTCCTATGACATGGGTTATTCACAAGAAGACAGCAGTAGAACACAATATGATTTTAACTTCCAATTTATTCAGTCAGCCACTAAGTTTTTTGACCTTTATTTTTAAAAACCTCCAACACTCTTGCTAATTAGGACTCTCTTCTCCTTCCAGCTGTTAATGGGCACAGAAGTTCAACTTGATATGTGTCTACTCAGAGCACTGCCTGATTCTATCTTCACATAGCAGTTATTACCCTCGGGGACAAATTATGTCTTGCATTGTGCACTCTCATCCCTTCACCGAAGACTTGACAGTCCATCCACCTAGGAAAAAACATATACTGCACTTAGTTTCACAGGTAACATATTGATTACTATTGATTACTATTTTTAATATCTATTTATTTTGCATACATGAATATATATACATTTACAATTCTTGTAAATCTTGTGAATTGGGTTTATAGTTTATTTTGGACTCTGATGATGCTGTTTTCTTTTAAACACTTCCCTTTATAACTGTGCATCAGCCTACAAGTCACCCTGAGAGAAAACACTCTAAATACATTACATTGAATGTACTTGCATGTACACAAGCTTCTCTGTTGTGACACATTAATCTCAGAATAGCTGGGTTCATTAAATGTTAAGCCTTGATAATCTTTTCAGTATGATCATAGGCTGCTGGACCTCTGCTACAAAATTATACACCACCTCTTACAGAGGCTCAGAATAAGTTTGGTAGCCCATGTGGACTAAGATGAAGAGATGACATCCAATGTGCTTGTTGGATTACCCTCAGCCCTCAACTCTTGCATGTACTGTGGTTAGCTGCCACTTCAAAAAAGAAGGAGGATGTATATTGGGGCAGGGGGTAGGGAGGAGAAAGTCAAGGATCAATTATAGGTGGGGAACAGGGCTTGGAACATTTGCAGTCTGAAGAAAGGTGGACAGGAGGCACTGGAGAGCTTCCCTAGAGCAAGAGGGGTGGAGAAGAAAAGGCAGGGCTGGCTTGTGTGGTGGTTTTATGCTGCTTCAGAGCTGAACTCCACCGCAAATGTTCTCTCACTCACCCTCCTCAAAGTAAAAAGGGGAGAAAATATGATGGAAGGACTCAAGGGTTGAGATAAAGACAGAGTGATCGCTCAGCAATTATTGTCACAGGTGAAACAGACTTAATGTAGGGAGATCATTATAATTTATTGCCTATCACTAGTGGACTTGAGCAGTGAGAAGTAAAACCAAAAAAAGACACCTTCCCCTTTACCCACCCTCCTCCACCTTCTCACCCAAACAGCAGAGGGGAATGGGAAATGGAGGCTGCAGTCAGTCTATAGCACTTGGTCTCTGCCCCTGCTCCACATGGGGTCCCTCCCACAGGATGCCGTCCTTCCTGAACTGAGCCTGTGGGGGCTGCCCACAGGCTGCAGCTCTTCAAGAACTGCTCCCACACGGCTCCGTCCCACGGGGTCCATCCCCCAGGAGCAAACTGCTCCAGCACGGGTCCCCCATGGGTGGGGGCAGCTCCCCCCAGACCCCCTGCTCCTGCGTGGGCTCCTCTCCACGGACTGCAGCTCTGGCCCGGGGCCTGCTCCTGCTCCTGCTCCTGCTCTCCACGGGCCGCAGCCTCCTCCAGGCCACATCCACCTGCTCCACCGGGGACTCCTCCACGGGCTGCAGCCTGGAGATCTGCTCCATGTGGGGCCCATGGGCTACAGGGGGACAGCCTGCTCCACCAGGGGCCTCTCCACGGGCTGCATGGAACTTGTGCAAAAGGTTTGCATTATCTCACAAGCACATAAAATTGATTCTGCAAGTTCAGCCGTCTGAATCCTTTCATGAATTATGAAAAGGTTAAAGCAGTGTAGCTCTGTGGTGCCTGCTAGTATCATCTGCCAGTGCAAAGATGGCGTGGGATGTAAGCAGGTCTTCTGCTACCTATATGGATGGATCAGTGACAAACTGAGATGATTCCAGAAGAAAGTATTCATGGTCTTCAAACAAAGATAAAGGCAGCAGCTGCTATATACTATGTGCTTGCAGGAAATAAATGGGTTGGAATTGGCAAACAAGGGGAGACTGTGGTCTATGCTGGTCAGAGCATCTCAGCTCAGTGGCTGGAAGAGCTATCTTAAGATGGCATGCTCTGGTCCCTAGGCTTTATGATCATTGTTACTTTACAGGAAAAGTTACCTGCATCCTGACAGGGAGGGAAGAACAGGCAGAGAAGCAGCAACAGCATTTAAATCCAAAGTAAATATTAGCATAAGCTGTCAGATAGTGAAATACTGCTCTGCTGTTGCTACTGACTGTAATCGTAGTTGCCATGAATTTGTATTCTAACTCATAAGTTAACATGTTAGTTATATTTCTGCCAGCCAAAGTGAATATTACTTGTAACTAGCATAAACTACAGCTTTGTTTGTTCTTTATGTATTATAGAAGTTTCAGTGATTTAAACCAATTTGTGTTTGAGCTTTCTCCCCCATAACTTCAATAGGCGACCTTAATCCTTCAAAAATGAATGTAAAATAAAGTTAATATTTGCTTATGACAAAAGCTCTGCTAAGGATTTTTGATTATGAAGGCATTTTCTTAGTAGGAAAGAATTAAAATAAGTTTCTTCAAGGAAAAAACATAAATTCCTTCACAGAAGCTGCCACTGAAAGAGAGATATTTATAGGATAGCAAAAACAGTTTGTCTAGTAATCAGTCTTAATTTTAATGCAGATAAAGCAGTCCAGAAGAAACTGCATGGATCTTCATCCTAATTCAAAGTTTAAAGGAAAAGTCCAGGTAATTTTTTTATTCTATTTTGCAGTTTCTGATAGTTCCAGATGGGCAGTGAGGCTATAATTTTGTGGCTCATCACAAAACCCTTTGAGTGGAATCCATGAAATGTCTCCAGTCCAGTCAGGGATCACAGGAATTTCAGTACATTCTGCTCCCACTGAAACCCTGGGGAGTCCTTCTGTTTATTATGACCCAGATCAGCCATGACAAAAAGTTCTTTGTTCCATTTATTGATAGTCCTAGGTTTTTGTGCAATGTGGTAAAGTCCAGTGGAAAGTGTTTGCACCGTATGCGTATAACAGTTGTGTTCATCAGTTCAGCCCAAAGATCAGGTATTGCTGTTTTTAGTCAGGTCTCAGTTCCCACTGAACTTATACCTTAAAATTTATCGTGCTGCTTCGTGACTGCTTTTAAAATGTCCTGTATTTTTCTTGTGATATATGAGTGGAAATAGGTTTCTAATTTCATTACGTAAGTATGTTTTAATTTGTGGTTGAAATTAGACACAGTTAAAAATTATGCTTTTTTAACATTTCTGACCAACTTCTATGAATACATAAAACTTAGAAATTCTATGGAATTATGCATATTAGGCATGGACTCCACCTTGTCCAGCTTCTGTAAAAACAAGTTAAATATCTAATCTCATCTCATTATTTGGCCTGACAGCTAATGGAGACAGGGTCACCCTCATGTTAGAACAAATACCTATGCCTATTTAGACAGCTTTCATAGTATAGACTAAAATACTATATGAAGGTTCTTATTTCTCTCTACTGATATAGGCTGGATGACAACTGCCATTTAGGTTTAACTTTCAACTAAGAGGAATTAATTTTGATGAATATAATCATGGATGTTTGCAGTTCTCTGAATTGCTCATTCTATTTGTTTGTTTGTTTGTTTGTTTGCTTATTTAACTCACGTAGGAAACAAGGTGATTGAATATTACTTCCTGATTAGTCAAATATAATTTCTTTCTCTGAAGTTGTAACTTTCTGTTGATGGCATGTACTTACGGAGGTTTTGAGGCAAAATAGAGGAGAGTGACAAATTATTGCCCAAGTTTATGTTTTGTTTTCTCAGTTTGGTCATCCTTATTACAATTTGTAATGAAAACAAAATAACAGCAACAACAAAACCACAGAACTTTTGTCCTTCTTATAGGCTGTATAGCAAAATAATGCAAAATCAAAATCTATCAAAATGAAATTAAAATTCTAGCACACTAGCACTAACTGTAATTGAACTAGGTAAATTTGAATAATGCAGTCCTCCAGACTGAGATAACTGAAGTTAAATCAATGAATTGATGAATTCACAATAGCACAATATTCAGTCAAAAATTATTCAGCAGTACTGGGCAACAGTTAAGATTCACTTATTGTAAATCTATTTCATATAAGCGATTCTTAGAAATGACTAATTGCAGAAATAAAAATAAAATTGAAAAAATGTAATCTGCTTCTCTTACTCTCTCCTGTGTAGGATTGTTGTGGTTTATCCCTGGCAGGCAGCTCAGCCCCACACAGCCACTCACTTGCTTTCCCCTGGTGGGATGGGGGATAGAATCAGAAAGGGAAAAGTGAAAGAAGTCATGGGTTGAGATGCAGACAGTTCAATAGGTAAAGCAAAAGCCATGTGAGCAAAGCAAACCAAGGAATTCATTCACTGCTTCCCATCAGCAGGTAGGTGTTCAGCCACCTCCAGGAAAGCAGGGCACATCATGTGTAGTGGTTACTTGGGAAGAAAAATGACACCTCCTCCAACCCTCCAAATGTCCACCCCTTCCTTCTTCCTTGCCTCTGCTGTTATAGCTGAGCATGACACCACATGGTGTGGGACATGCCTTTGGCCAGTTTGGGTCAGGTCCTGGCTGTGTCCCGTCCCAGGTCCTTGTGAACCCTCAGGTACCTCGCTGGCAGGGCAGCACCAGGAGCTGAACGACTGTTCAGAGTCCTTGGCTCTGTGTGAGTGCTGCTCTGCAACAGCCAAAACATTCCTGTGTCATCAATATTATTTTCATTAAAAATACAAAATGCAGCATTGTGAGAACCCATACAAAGGAAAATAATTCTGTCCGAGCCAAAACCATGATAAGGAGAAGGATTCTCAAGGTTGCACACTTAGCTCATGCTCCTGGTAAAGTCTTTGCTTCAATACAAAACAATGTTTAACTTTATTTTAAGGATTAATTTTTCCACAGTTACTTTATTAAATTATTGACACATAGAGTTGTGAAGTTGCATTTGCCAAAAATAAGGATGTGTTCTTGCATATGCATCAAAAGTGCAAATGTAAGATTTGCATCTCTACAGATACTTAGAATAATGGGTTATAGTACTTGTACAGTCTTTGTCAAAGGTAGTTAGACTGAATTATTGTTTGAAACTTGCAGATACAAGTGATAGTTTATTTATCTTCTAATGTCAATGAAATAATTATTCATGTTTCCATTCAACATATTTTAGTCCCTGAATAAACCTACTGCAGTTGGGTCAGGGATGAATTACTTTTATTGCATTTTATAAAAAAAATCATTCTGATTTACGGTTACATTGTGCTTGTTATGAAAGGATTTCAAAGCATATGATTGTTAATTATGTTTCATGACTTGTCCCTGTGGAATACATGCCTAATGTTATCATTTAAAATGTTATTATATTCATTTAAATCTTGGCGTCTACTTTCACCATTCCTGTCCCATGGAAAATCCTGAGTTTTATTTGGTATAAAGCTTTTTTTTTCCTCAGTTGTACCTCAGTGAAGTGGCTAATTGACAACCAGTAAACACTGATAAACTTTTTTAGGTGTAGTTGCCCTTGGTACAGAATCCCAAACTCTGTGTTAGGAGTCAGTAAATACATACTGAATATGGAACAACCTAAATTAATTCCAGGAAATACTGAGGGAAAGATTGAGTCTTGAAATCTTGTTTCTTAATCCCCTTGTTTAAAGGTGCTGAATGTATTCCATCCACAGGGGATTGATAGTTCTAAACTTGTCCTTGAAAGTAGGACTACACCTTCATTTGAAATATACTTTTAATTGGAAGCACTTAATGCTGCTCTTCTTTTCAATGTTAGTTCTCTTACAAGAGTAAGTACAATTTTGTTGCAGCTAAATTTCACCCACAGCCAGTTAAAGTTTTGCTAGTCTTTTCTCGATCTACCTCATTAAGACTAAATAAGTAGAACAAGTCAAATCTTTCACTTTTAGGAAATCATAGGAAAACATTTTAATTGGGAAGAGAGCACAAAACTGCAACAAATTACCCAGAGATTCTGTATATTTTCCATCCTTGAAAGTTTTCAGGAGAAGGCTAGAAATGACTTGCTTTCATGTTGGCAACAGAACCACATTGAGAGATATATTGGAATAGGTGGTCTCATGATGTTGATACCTGATGGTGGTTGTATGAAACCTTCCCATTGTAGGTAGCTATGATGGGTAATCTGGCAGAAAATTGCAACACATTGTCAGTGATGATGATTCCACTGTTTCAACCAGCAACCACCTGTGAAGAGCCAGGTTGACTTTGGTGATTAATATTGCCCTTATTCATTTGGGTTTACCTTGGATTCAGTATCTTCTTACCATTTTTTTTTTTCTGCTGAGAATTTTATGTTGGGCTTTACCTTTTTATTTATCTACAGCTGGAGAGGACAAGTCAGGAAATGAGAGACTCATGAGAGAGACTCAATGGCATAGCTGTAAATTCAAACCAGAAAACTCAGCTCGCAGTCCTTGTAATGCTGCCTGCACTCTGCAAATCAGCGTTTCCAAAAAAACCTGTTCTGGACTCCATATTAAAAAAAAAAAAAAAAAGTAGAAAAAAAAAAAGTAGAACACAGTTATGGGAATTAAAACTCTGTTTCTTGGCACTGTGTGAAGCTCCAAGTCTTCTATGCAGTGATCAATATTCAAGAGTCACTACTACTCACAGCCATCGCTCACAAATGAGAGAGTGATTATTTCTTCTCCTAGATATTCAGAAGAGAGCAGAATTGTATATAATGCTACCACTTTGACTGCATCTGGACAACAAATATCAGTATGGGATCCTTTTGTCTGTATTTTTGCCGGTCACTGCCCGCAGAAAGTTTCATATTGCTTGCAGGTTTTTTTAGGGTCCGATGGCAATCAATCACTTGACTGGCATTTACAACCTATAGTCTTGGCTATAAAGAGCAAAAGGATGAAGCCAGCATTTAGTATATATATGCTCTGTCATTTCAGACATGGGTTCATTTGTAGATGAGGTAACTAGGCTGTCATGATAATTCTTTGTTTCTACTACTTGCAGTTCAAGACAGTTTGAGACAAATGTTGAGTATATGTGCATACATGTATATACACACATAATGCAGTCATGTCCTTAATATGATCAAAACCACTGGGCAAGAAACCTTAGGTTCCATTTTTCTCTTATACAAACTGGTTCATTTAATTTTCTGTATGAATAACCATAGATTGCAATTAATCCCAGAGAACTGCAGGCAACTTATTTTAAACTATCACCCTTCCATCATTAATTGAGGGGAAAATGGGCATCTTAAAACATTGCTTCATCCCTTAAGTGTCTAACATGGATGCATAGGTACAGGATACAAAATGTAACCAAATCCTTGCTGGTCAGGCTGAGTTGTCATTAATGTCATAATTTTATTTAGTAACTCTTCCAGAAAGTCAATATTACAGGTTCCAAAAAATTGTACATTTACAGATATGGTGTGATGTTTTCTGCTTTCTTCTTTAAGGTGTCGTACAGGACCTTTGTGGATTCTCTGTCTCTTTTCATAAGACTTACACAAGCTTCTCTTTCTCCAGGGGTCTACTTTGAATAGTTTTTCTATCAAATTTTATAGCATAATGATTTCATACCTGTGTTTTAACTCGACCTTCCCTTTTTTGAGAACCGTTGTTTGAATCTGGATTTCAAATAAGAAGTAGAGGTTGTTTTTTGTTGTTTCTAATCTATATATATTAACAAATAAACTAAATATTGATGAGTTTGAAATCAACGAGAGCATTAAGGGGCAACATATTTTGCTATCCAGCATAATAAATGAAATATTTTTTTCTTTGGTGTATGTACAGCTGTCAGTGAAATTTATTATACCTGTGTATCTAAGGGAATAACATGAAAAATCATACATTGTTACATATGTTGAGCACCATATTCATATTTCTGTGTTGATTAACCTAATTTGGATGTCCTAACTTAATTAATACATCACTTTATTTAATTTTGTGAATATCGTTCTAAAAAAAGAGATGAAAAAAATATACAAAAAGAGAAAATGGTGCTCCTCTCCAGTAAAATCATCAATAAACTTGATAAAGCTCACCATTGTGAATCAGGATTGAATGATGTGTCATAAGTGGAAAATGTAGTTCCAGGACCTCATATTCACCATAACTCAGAAGAACTCAAATAGGTTCAGCTAGTCAGGAAGTATTATCCTGCTTCATGTGTGCAATAATGTTCAATATTTCACAATAGTTTGTGTGTGGAGTTTACCATTAATTTGGGATTTATTTTCTTTATTAATTTCTAGATATCCTTACTTACCAGGAATTTACTTAGAGGAAAAGATACAATAATCTTAAATTAAGTATAATAATGGGAAACACAATTCATGGGAAAATGTACTTAGCAAGATAAACATTATTGGAATCATACTACAAAAAAAGAATTCAGCAAAACTAAAACAAAATTAGAAGAAAGCTAAATTCTAACTATTCTGTCCAAAATTTCCTGATTTATCCAAGCAGTCACTATGACTTGTTGTCATGGTTTTGGCTGGGACAGAGTTAATTTTCTTCATAGAAAAAACACAAAATGCTGTTTTGGATTTGTAAAGGCCAGCTCCATGTACTGCCCTGCCAATGAGATACATGGGGCTCCACAAGGTTTTGGGAGAGGACACAGCAAAGAGCTGACCCAGACAGGCCAAAGGGATGTCCCATACCACATGGTATCATGCTCAGCTATAACAGCTCGGGTAAAGAATGAGGAAAGGGTGGACATTCAGAGTGATGGCATTTGTTTTCTCAAGGAACTGTTACACCTGATGAGCCCTTCTTTCCTGCTCTTCTATGGTTTATCCTCCACAGGCAACTCAGTCCCACTCAGCTGCTCTCACGCTCTCCCCAGGTGGGATGTGATAGAGAGTCAGAAAGGTAAAAATGTGAGAACTCAGGGGTTGAGATGCAGACAGTTCACTAGGTAAAGCAAAAGCCATGCTCGAGCAAAACAAACCAAGGAATTAATTTGCTACTTCCCATCAGCAGACAAGTGTTCAGCCACTCTCAGAAGACAGGGCTCATAATGCTGGCAGGGCAGCACAAGAAGCAGAAAAGTCTTTGGTTCTATGTAAACGCTGCTCTGCAACAACTAAAACCAACAGTGTTTTATTACCACTATTTTAATCAAAAATCTGAAACACAACATCGCGTGAGGCTCTGCAAAGAAAATTAACTCTGTTCCAGCCAAGGCCACGACACTTAGGAAAAAGTGGATCAGTCTTCTCATGTTTAGAACTTCACTCGTTTCTTGAGAAATTGGACACATGGAGAAAAGGCTGCATATTTGTCAGGAGCAGCATTTATGCTAGAGATGACTATTTTACTCCTGTGGAAATTCCTTCAGTGGTGCAGAATTATATATTCTTATGAAAAGTTCGGTACCCACATATTCCTCAGTGAATTGGTGCCTTTTAACAGCTGTGTTCTCAGTGTGTTCCAGAGGGCTTTGAAAATCTTTAATTTGCTTTGTGTCTCTAGACAGCACAGCTGTTATCATCCCTAAGTATACTTCGGCCTATGACATCAGGAGCAAAGCTGGACCTTCTCAATATTGCTGTTTTCTTTTGCTCTCTGACAGGGTGTTGTTATATACAGGAACAACCTGAGGCACTCTCTCTAGACTGCTAAATAAAAGTCTCAGAAAGTGAATTTGAGCCCTACAGCCTTGCTCATCCATGTTACTTTATTGTAAATTCTGCTGGTTCTGGTTTGGACTGCTCTGGTTAGCTTATTCCAAGGTGTAGCCTGGCAGGTTCACTAGGCAGTTCATTTCAGAGACAGTTCTTATAAGATGATATGAATAGGTCTCTACCAGATCCTCCTGTCTTCTAAGAGTGTCTCAAAAGACTGCACTCTCAAATCCCATGAGGAACACCTTTAACCAGTGAATGCTGTATGTACCAGTGAATGCTTAAATGTACCATTTAAGCAAAATCATTCTATTATAGACCTCATGTCATTTCAGGTAATTTGAACTACGGAAGGAAAAAAATCACCGACTTAAACAGAAAATAAAAATTCTTTTGTACAGAGCCACAGGAGATCCAGAGGAGACTCAAAACCAAGCATGGTATAACGTGGACGTGACAATTTTGTGCCACCAGGGGAAAAGTCTAAAGATAGACACTGTCATTAAAGCTCAGGAGCAGGGTGTTCTGGTCAGCAGGGCGGGTATTGCAGGAGGTCACCTTGACTGTACAAGGAATTCCAGTTGGAGTTCAAATGTAAAAATCTCAGCTTGGGCTGGAGGTCAAAGTGAGGACAGGAAACCGAGGGAGAAGAGCCTGCAGTCATTCTTGAGGTGATGAAAGCCAGACATGTATTGGATTGCTTTAGCAATATAAAAGATTGTGTGAAATAACTGTTAGATATCCTTTTGCCCTTTATTTTATATGTGTGAGCCCTCAGCTGGAATACTGTGTCCAGGTTAGGGACCTCAGTACATGTTCAAGGAACTGGACCACAAAATGTGTGACAAGAGACTGAGGGAGCTGACAGTGTTCAGCCCAGAGAAAAGACTAGGGAGGGGATCTAATTATTGTCTTTGTCCACCTGAAGAGAATTATAGACAAGAAGGACCACTTCTTGGTGGTGCAAGCTGAAAAGAAAGAACCAATGGTTTTAAGCCATAATAAAGGAAATTCCCAATGGGCATAAGGAAAAAAATATTTAGACTGAACATGACAATATGTCTACAGAGACTGTGAGATCTCCACTCCTGGAGATATTCACAACAGAACTGGAGAAGACTCCTAGCAGCCTAATCTGACTTTGAAATTGGCCCCTGCCCTGAACAGAAGTTTGGACCAGATGGTTTCCACAGATCCCTCCAAACTTAATATTTTCTCTTTCTAGCTCCATATCAAGGTATTATTTCCTATCCATATTTTACCTAGTCATATAAATGTATGGTTAATGACTTCCAACTTGTGTTTGGGTGGTGTGAAAGAAGACATCATCAGTTTCAAAAGGAGCAAGGACACAAACCAGACTGGGAGAGAAGAAAAGCAATTCCTTGGTGCAAGAAAGTTCAGACTTCTCCAAAGAGTGGAAACCTTATGTATATGTGGTTCATATAATTGGAATTGCTTTCCATTTACTCAGTGGGCTTGATATAAGTTCACCAGACTTGGCATCACTGGAATACTGCCTCATGGTCAAAGAAGCCCCACTACACTAAGTTTTTGTTGGAGAGCAAGACAGTAGTGACACAGGGACCTGGGACCAAAGGAAAAAACAATGGTATCATTTTCACCTTGTAAAAGATGAATACTCTGCTTGAAAAAAAGTATAGGGAAGTAAGGCCTGGAACATATGAAGCTTGTTGAGCCTCCAAAGGATTGGAGAAGCTGTAAAAGGAGTTAGCAGTAGCTGGCATTGCCTACGCAAAGAGCCAAACTGAGGATGGGCAGCATGAGAAGTGAAACCTTGTACAGGCTTGTCAAGGGAGGAGGTTGGAATGGGGATATTGAAGAAATAAAAATAGAAGGGTTAAACTTCATGGGAAACACCTCTGAGAAATGGAGAAAGTTGCTGGTGAATTTACCAATCCTCTACTTTCAACAGAGGTTTGTAAAATCCACTGACAATCAAGTTTTTCTTCCCTCTCTTACAATTTTTGGTATTGGTTGGGCTTAAATTAAGTTATGCATGTGTACTCTGCAGCATTCTGAGGACCTGCTTCTCTATTACTCAGTTAGGTGAAAGCATGCTGTGTTTGCTGAGTGCCTGAATTTCCTTTCTGTGGAGACCAGCATGCAAAGGCATGAGGATGGGAAACCAGTCCATGTCTGGACCAGTTCATGGCAAGTTTACATTAGGGACTCAGACAGTGTGTTCAGACTGGGTATAGGAGCTTGAAAGCTCTCTCTTAGTTCATATTGGCTGCAGAAAATTCACCTCAAGGTGCTGCCAGCAGCCGTGTCAGTAGGCTGTTCGGAATCAGAGGTCTGTAGGGAAAACTTCTGAGTGTTATCCTTGCTGTGGCTGAGGGTTTCTACAATGCAATGTGATGAAACTAAGAGAAGGAAGATCAAAATGACTCAAATTTGCTTTCATAAAAGGCCACACTCTGAACTTAAACAAACTAGTTTACAGACCTTTTTGTACTTGCATGTTCTTATTCTCAAGACACACCTGCCTGCAATACAGCCAGGAGGGGAGGGCAGCCTATGGCAATGGTGATGCCTACATCATTAAATGTTGAAATACCTCACAGTGTTTCTGCTAAAATTGATAAGATCTTTATTTCTGTTACTGCATCTGCTCCAGGCATGTGCAAGTATTGTAAAGTAACACTCCCTACTGCAGCATTTCCTGATTTATAGGGTTTATCTCACACCCTCCCGTGTGAGTTGCTCAAGGAAACAACCGAGGTCAGGAAACTCACAAAGGAGAAGTTATGGGGTGTGCCACAGGAGGTCAGTGAATGCTAACAATGTTTGGGGAAGAGGTTCACAAATACTTACATCTATTTGGGCTGAAAGACATGAAGCAAAGTAATTTGTCTCTTCCATTGCCAGTAGCCAGACCCAGCTACTTCACAAGAAGCCACAAGCCCATAATAAAGAGTAATAGAACAGTCTTTGCACAGAGGAATGCTTTTTCTAACCCCAGATAGTTTGTATTTTATATTTGAAGCATGGAAGTTTATGTTCCGTCATAACTTTTACGCTATACTAGTGCAACTCAGGGATTTTCTTTTTATTCGTTCTACCTGCTATAAAAAAATCTTACTGAACTCTTGATAATCTTAACTGTTACTAATCACCAAAGAAGATGATGATGATGATGGTTATTATTATTATTTGATGTGGAGGTTCCCCAGAATAATTTTTGTGTCACAAAACCATTATTAACTTATAAAACTTCTGCAGTTGATACTTTTCTGTGTATGTCTGTAAGTCTGGCTAATAATTCTAGAAAAAAGTGTCACAGGAGCTGCCCCACCTTCAGAAAAGGAGGGATTCTTTCTGTGCAGACCCTTTCTGATCTTGGTTCTTG